TCTGAGGAACAAGTCGCAGGGACTTATCCCAAAAATTCAAACTGGTTTGAATTCGTGGGACTAGTCGTAGGGACCAAAGTTGGTCCCTGCGACTAGATTTTGAAGCAAAAATGGCCAGTTGACACGATGGGACTTGTCCCCGCGACTTGTTGCAGGGACTAGTCGCAGGGACCAGTCCCCTCGTGTATGCCGACCTTCAGGTGGTGGAATTGCAAGTGATGAAATTTTGATGGTTTATAACCATTGGTTTCTTGACGTTTAATATTCTCTTATGACGCTTGACAGTAAAATAATCAAATTAAACCTCTATCGTTGTTAGTCACGTGGAATAAGCTTAACTTACACCAAATGCAAGAACGTTTTGCGGCGGATGTGTCTCCCATTCTCCAAATCCTGACCCTATTTTCAAGACCGCAGCTAGTAACAGACAAACCGAGGCACTTGCCTCAGTGATTTGTGTTCGTTTTTCTTGCTCTTAGTCATCATAAACACTCTAAATACCTAGGGAGAGAATTTAACCATGGACATTGCCTCAGTCATAATTTTTTCCTAGCTACGGCCGTGCTTTTAATTAGACCATTATTCTTATCCAACTTTAGGCGTGAGCCCTAAAATTCACTGTTTTTAGAACTGGCCGATTGCGTATCGCCCCGAGTTAAATCTTATAGTTACTTAGTTTGCCATTTTTTATCTGATATGTTTAGTATAGTACGCTTTCCCTTTATACCCATGCTCATTTTCAGACCAACAAAACAAAATCCATGACCCATTTTCTCTCCAAACACCATAACTTTTGGGGTGGCACATGTCTTTATAGGAAAGTACTCCCAGGTTATAGCTAGGTAGACGGTCACGGTTGACTTTTACCCAGATCAAGAGAAGATGAACGGGAAGAGAGTTCATCCCCCTATATAGCCCTTATACCTAAGCTCGTGCTGCGGGCACAGCCTCTGTATGCATGGTGTGAATTGCATTCTGTTCTATCTCAGATTGTTGCACTTTGTTTTCAAGCATATGATAGCAGTCATCTTAATCATTATTTCGTAAATAAACCGCACTAAAATCCTACATTTCTTGATTCGCAGACGCTACTTCTCAGCAAGGATGCATTGTTAAAGTTTACAACAGGCCACGTGATCGACCTTATATCAAATGATGTTCAGCGAATAGAGGAAGACACAGTCATTGCGCTTTCTGTGACGGTTTCTTCGTGCTTTCTTTTGGTGGCGTCAGCAGTATTACTCGTGTATTTGATTGGCTGGCAATCTCTTATGGGAGTCTTTTTCCTGTGTTTTCTTGTGCTATACCTCGCTGGGTTCTCCTATATTAGTGCTGCACTGCGCTTGCGCACAGCAGCGGTGACCGACCGGCGCATCTCCTTGATGAACCAGGTGGTTTCTGGGATTCGTGCCATCAAAACGCGTGCGTGGGA